AATTAAATAAAATAAAAGCTTGAAAAAGCCGAGAGACGCTCAACATTTATTAAAAAGAAACAAAGTTTAAAACGAAAAATTCCTGAAAAATTACTTTAACTTTTTTGCCACTTACACATTCATCCAACGAACAACAGCTTTTCACTGTCAGCCAAGAAATCAATTGAAATATTTATTGCTTGAACGAGAAAACCTATGCAGAATCCAGTTATGCCCCCATCAGCAATCTCAGCTTGCACGTTTTTTGAAAATGGTAATAACGACGTTGTATAGGTTATACAAAACTGCGGATTAAAAAAATTGGTGGCAACGTTACAATCCATTGTGGTACTATAAAATCAAACATTGCTCTCCAAGATAAACACAACAACTTGATCGACACTCTTATTTGTACGCATTAATTCGACATCAGTTTTTCTGAATCCGACTCATTACTTCCCCGAGAAAAAATAAATATTCAAGCTGATTCACCAACTAAAAAACTGGCAGCAAGTTGCTGTAACGGGAAAATTTTTTTGACACGAAACGTTTGCCACGTAAAAAAAAAACGTTCGTTTAATTAAATTACATAGAATACAAACGAACGCTATTTTTTTTACGTGGCAAACGTTGTGTCGTTGAGTGTCAAAAAAATTTGCACGTGAATGTTCTGTGTTGTTGTTCCCTAGTACTGCAGTCCAATAAAAACCAGTAAAAAAACGGTCAGTTTGATTGTACAAAATGAAGACCCAATAAAAATTTCATTGTTTCCTATTTGCCACTTATTTGGCAAATTTATTTTATTCGAGTTTATAGTAAAGAGCCCATAATTTTTTTTCAAATAATAGTTTTTAAGATCGTATTTTCAGAGCCAAATAAATAGTTTATTGGAGTTTATAGGAATAACATTGAATCTAATCGTATGAGGTAATCCTATAATAAATTTTATGTGTGTTTATAGTTATTCGTTAATAAAATTTTTATACGTTGTTATTTGTAAAAAAACCTGTAAATTTTTACTGAAAAGAATTTCGTTGAACCATTGGTAGACTTTATCAGATAATTCTTATAATTTTCATATTGCATTTTATAGTCAAATCACAATTTGTAACCATGCTTGTGATATTATCAAACGTTTGCAAGTTTATATGGCTGAATGGGAATTTACGGGTGCAAAAACCGATATTAAGCGAATAGCCTAAGCAATATATTGGAATTTATTTGTCCTTCCTGATTCATCAGTGTACATACATTTTTTTTTTTTTTTTTTATTATTTTTGATTTGTATGTGACGATTTCTATTTGTAATCTCATCGTATTTTTCATGTGCGTTTATAGTTATTTGGAAACGGATATTTTAATTACTTTTTCTTATTAATAACCAACTAAATTTTTACTGAAAAGTATTGTCTTAAACCGTTGGCTTATATATCTTCTATCAGATGTGTCAAATATTTCACGTAATTTTTTTTTTTTTTTTTCAACGTAAACTGTATTTGGGTCAAATAAATGTTTATTGAAAGCTTATACACTTGTGTTTAAAACTAGTACATATTTATTGCAATTAAAAAGAAAAGTGCATTTTTCCACTATGTTTATAAAGTTAACATATTTTAAGAACTCCACATATCCGAATTGGGGTATACNAAGATAATTCTTATAATTTTTTTATTGTATTTTATAGTCAAATCGCAATTTATAACCATGATTGTGATATTATCAAACGTTGGCAAATATATGAGGTAATTTTTTTTTTTTATTGCAATTTAATAGAAAAGTGCATTTTTTAACTATGCTCATAAAGTTAACATATGTGTAGAATTCCACGTATCCAAATTGGGGTATACGGGTGCAAAAAATACCGATGATGGCCGTAATCTATTGGAATTTATTTGTTTCTCCCGGTTTATCAGTGTGCATAAATTTATTTTGTTTAATTTTTAGGCATCGATCCTTTTATCCAAAACTTTGTTTTTCTTTAGGATAGTAGTTAATTTCAAGTTCGCATGTATGCTGTAACAAGCTTTAATTCTTCTACACGTAATGTTTTCTAATGATTATCGTTTTTGAGTTTGCTAAATAATAAATATCTACATAAACTGATGTGTGATATTCGTTATTAATTTTTTGCAGTTTACATTATATATAAAAAGTTTACAGCTGACGAAAAAACATTAAAAAAACGTGTTGGGACTCATCTGTAAAACCATTATGTAACTTATGCTTTCAATACGATAAATGAATTCTATATGAACTTAAGTATCGTATACAGCCCGTACATTATTTTTGGTAAATAGTTAACGTGTTATTTGCAAAGTGAAATTTAGTATAAGTTCGATTTTATAGGAATAATAAATCAACTCTTACTTCTATATAACTATTTAGAAATATTTTGACTCATAATTATATTGTCTTCATCAGTTATTTGTGTTTTAATTTGAGAATCACCATTTTATAGCATATATAGTTATTTAATCTCATAAGGTAATTATTGCATACTATATGTAACTATTTACAAATATTTTGACTCATAATTATATTGTCTTCATCAGTTATTTGTGTTTTAATCTGAGAATTACCATTTTATAGCATATATAGTTATTTAATCTCATTAGGTAATTGTTGCATACTATATATAACTTATCTAATTAATGTTATACGCGCTTTTAATAATCTGTACGTTGGATTATTTGTCTATTATTTATTGTACAGTGAGCGCTTATAGCAAATGAAAGTTTATTGATACTTATCCAGTTTTGTCAATAAAACTTACATATGAATGTGTACAAATCGTAAAACTATAGGCAAACCCATGTCGGTCATTATTGATTGCAGTACTTTTTAAATAAATTACTTTTTATGATCGATTTTCCGTTTAGTTTAATATACCGTCTTCTTCAGTGGATGATTTTTTGTCTAACATCGAATCTTATACAGTTTTTAATACAATATTTTACTACTCAAAACGAACCAAGAGAAATAATATAGCTAATAAATAAAATGAGTTCCAACAGATTTTAAACAATCGCGCGCAGAAATCGCGTTTTTCTTATAAATTCCAATAAACTTCATCGGTCAAAAGTAGAGCTACAGGTATATCTACAAATGATGATAAGAATCCATAAGAAACTAATCATGCAGTAGTACAAATTCTGTTAAAAATCATAATAGAAAACAAGTACTCTAATTTAGTAGTACCAAATAACTACAATTGAGATTGGGCAGGTATTCTCAATAAGAACCAACAATATCAATGCCTCAAATCGCTGTTATGTATAATAAAAACCAATATTTCCTTAAAAGTATCGTGCCGTGTTCAGATTTTCCTTGTAAATTCCAATACAAAGTTAAATTTTAACGCAGGGCTTTTAGATTTTAGATACGCTATAAAGTCGAATAATCGAATATGCAGTTGTAAAGTATTGATGTTGGGCGTATGGGAAGGAGGAACCGGAGCAATAAGAAGGCAGGCACCTTAACTAGAATGTATATATACATAGATATTCATGTATTCGATTACAGTAGAGAGTACATATCGAGTATTCGTGTACAGAGTAGGGCAGAGACTGCCGAACATTCGGTGCTCAACTAAGATAATCGGCACTCGGGACTGTACGCGTGTGACTCACTCACCGATTTGGCAGCCAGACGGGGTGAGCGTCGGGGAAAAGGTCAATCACTCCCCATCTGAATTAACTGATCTACGTGTCGCTTACGTACAACGCCCGGTGCTAACTTAAGTTCATACATTGAAGGTATTATTTGTTTTTCAATCTTAGCTTCGACTCTTTTACCACCTGCAACCTCGTAATTGTCTACCAAGACCGAGTCACCCTCCTGGAGAATGACCTTCCTATAGCTCTTACGCACCGCAATCTGAGCTTGTTGTCTTTCAAACACGGTGTCTGCTATCCTAGGCCTCATCAAATCAAATCGTGTTCTCATTTCACGTCTACAAAAACTGCGTCCTGTTGTACAGTGCGGCGTACTACGGTAATCCATTAAAAATATGTTAATTGCGTCTTGCAGTGTCTCTCCCCCTTTTACAATTTTTTCGACCTTATGTTTAAAAGTATTGACAAAATTTTCAGCCGCGCCATTTGTTGCTGGGTGATAAGGAGGAGAGAAAGTTTGCTTTACGCTGCTCTGCTTAAGAAACATACCAAATTCCTCGCTCCTAAACTGTGGACCATTGTCCGTTACCAAGCGTAAAGGATCACCGTATCTAGCAAATAACTCTTTAATTTTAAGCACTAAATTATTGGCCTTCGTATTTTGTTTAAAGTGAATTATTTCCGGCCATTTCAAGTGCGCATCTAACACAACGAGGTACATGCTACCATAAAACGGCCCCAAAAAATCAGCATGCACACGGCTCCAAACTTTCTCCGGCCATGGCCAAGGTGTTGAAACAGTGTGAGCTGGTTTTTTTTGCACTTCCAAACAAATTCTACACGATTTAACCATTACTTCAATGTCGCCGTCAATACGCGGCCACCACACATAAGAACTGGCTAACATTTGAATCTTAACTATTCCCATATGGGATAAATAAAATTCACGTAATATCACGTCTTGCAGCCTATCAGGAATATTAATCCTGTTGCCCCATGTTCATAAAATCTGCTTGAGCTTACTGGCCGGATATGGGGGGAGGATGAGATGCACGTGGCTGCAATGATCGTCTATATTGAAACTCAGAACACACTTTATTGAACAACTTACTTGTGTCTTATACAGGTGGTTAAACCATCCGAAGCACCAATCAAAGCAGGGTCGTGCTCGACCCTCGAGAGACAATAATAATAGTAAGAAACTTAAAGGTATAGGTATTATAGAAAATCACGACGCTTCTCCTCTTGACACGCTGTTGGCTCTCTCTGTGCTTCTTGCAGAGCTCTCCACTATTTTTCCACTGTTTCGACAGGCTCCGTTGCTGCGATGGTGGTGCTGGCGTGGGCGTGTGGCGCGGGAAAACCAAACATACCGCCCGCCTCGTTCCAGGAACGATTGCACGTGGTTCATTTGTGGCCATTATGAGTCTGGCCGCCCGCCGTGAGCCCGGTGCCGGTCGGACCAGGATCGTCTGTTGCGTGATCAGCACGCTCAATGACGGGAAGCCGGGAAATATTGGTGATAGAACGGATGTACTCTCCCAAGGCAGTTCTTACCCTAACGACGTGGATGGACCCATCTAGTACCGGTTTGACGTCGACGATTCGGCCCAGTGGCCACTTCCCGATAGAGTTCAAAAGCGTTGGATCCACAACGAGGACTACGTCTCCAACGGCGAGATTGGGACGGGGCCGGGACCATTTCGTCCGTTGTTGCAAGGTGTTAAGATACTCGAGGGTCCAGTGGCGCCACAGCGCGTCGCGCATGCCTTGCACAAGGGTCCAATGGGTCAGGCGGTCTAGGTTTTCAGAAGTGTTGGTGGCAGGCATAGAAGTAAGGGGTCCTCCGATCAGAAAGTGAGCTGGCATGAGCATGTCCAAGTCCTCCGTATCTCCAGATAACGGGCCCAGAGGGCGACAGTTGAGAATCATTTTAATCTCTGCAAGCAGGGTTGAAAACTCCTCGAAAGTGAGGTTCCTAGTTTCAACCACTCGACGGAGATGAGTTTTCATCGATTTAACCTCAGCTTCCCACAAGCCTCCAAAGTGTGGGGCGGATGGTGGAATGAAATGCCAGTCGATTCCCTCGTTGGCCAGACTCTCAGCCACTGAATCCCAGTCGTGGTTGGCCCCAGCCATCAGCTGCTTGAGTTCGTGATCTGCCCCGTGGAAGTTCGTTGCGTTGTCGCTCCAGATTTCCTTCGGTTTTCCTCTGCGGCCTATGAAGTGAGTGAGTGCACCGAGGAAACTCGCTGTTGTTAGGTCTCCAACAGGTTCAAGGTGTAGGGCCTTTGACCACATGCAGACAAAAACAGCGACGTATCCCTTGACCGACTTGGCACCTCGGCCCTTGGATCGAAGGATGGAGAAAGGTCCCGCGTAGTCTACTCCAGTTCGGCTGAAGGGCCGAGCGGGCGTCACGCGAGCTGTCGGCAAGGGAGCCATGAATTGGTGAAAGGGTCGAGCTGGTGCTTTCGAGCATACAACGCACTGATGAACTCGTCGCTTTATCTCCACTGCTCCTCCAACGATCCAAACCCGTCGCATGACGTGCGAGTTCGTTGAGCAAAAGCCGCCATGCAAGGCTCGCTGATGTGCCCAGTCGATCACTAGCCTCGACAAAGGACATCTGGCATCCAGGACTGGTGGGTGTTTCTCTTCATAAGCAAGTGGCGAGTGACGAAGACGGCCGCTGACTCGTAGCACGCCTTCATCGTCCAAGAAGGCGCTTAGCCGGCTGAGGGGGCTCGAGATCTTGACAGGAAGAGAATTTTTCAAGGTCTTGATGTCGGCAGCAAAGTAACGAACTTGACTGAGTTTAGCGCAGCAAAGAAAACTGTGCTGGAGTTCTGCGACCGTGATTGGAGCTTCGGATTTCATGCAATCAGGTACTCTGATACCAGTCATGAGTTTCTTACACTCGATACGAGTCCTTAGTATCAAGATGAACCGTTGGCATCTGACGAGCACTTGGAGCCTGCGCAGCAAATTAGAAAAGTCGTCCATGAAATCGCGGCTTCCTTGCAAGATGGTCAGGCAGGTGGTTGACGCGATGGTGTGTCGATCTCCGTCGTAGTGACCGGTCGGAGAAGGCGGCTGCTATAAGGTTGAGGCCCACGTAGAAGGTAGGCCTGTTAGCCAAGACGGGCTGGTCCATTAGAGGGTGTTGTGTTGAAGAGTCGAAGGTTCCACACCCCTGGTAGTGATGTCAGCCGGGTTGTCGCTGGAGGGAACGTAGCGCCAGGTACCGTGAGCTGTGAGTTCCTGAATGTGATGGACATAATTGTCGACAAGATCGTTCCCAACAGGCTCGCTGGAGCATAGCCAGCTGAGTACCGTGCTCGAGTCACTCCAAAGGTAATACGTGCAATCCAAGATCGTCAAGCTCGCATCCACGAGTCTGAGTAGGCGAGCAGCAAGAAGAGCAGCTCTCAGCTCTAATCGGGGAATAGTCATCCGTGTATTCTGTCGCTCCAGTGGAACGAGACTTTTGATCGGAGAAAGCTTTGTCTTCGCACCGATGAGACTCACATTTACCGTGCCAGATTCCTGCTCGACTCTGATGTAGATCACCGTCGCCAAGGCTCTTCTGCTGGCGTCGGCAAAGGCGTGTAGTTGGATCGAACTGGCTGGGGACGATTGAAGCCATCGAGTAAGGGTAAGTAGGGAGACTTCAGACAGCTTGGAGCGAAATGACTCCCATCGCTTGGCGTAAGATGCCGGCAGTGGCTCATCCCGCGTTAGCTTCGCCCTCCAAAGGTCTTGAATAAGCATTTTGGCCACGACAATAATGGGTGACAGCCAGCCAGCAGGGTCGAAAAGCCGAGCCGCTTCAGCCAGGACACGACGCTTTGTCAGTGTATCACTCTTGTTGAATGCAGGGGGGGAAAACCGAAAGCAATCAGCACTCGGATCCCAAGCAGTTCCCAACTCATTCACTGGATCATCCATGGTGAAGTGAAGCCAGCTCGGTCGCAGCAAATCTTCGACTTTCAAATCGTGCAAAAGAGATGGCGTGTTTGAGACCCACTTCTTGAGTACGAAGCCGCCCGCCTTCAGAAGTTGAACCAGTTGATCTCTGCGCTTTCTCGCCGTGTCCTCGTCGTCTGCGCCGGTCAAGAAGTCGTCGACATAAAGATTTCGGCGGACAGCGTCAACTGCTTCAGGAAAGGCAGCTCCTTCGTCCTCGCACAGTTGCGTTAGAGTCTTCAACGCTAAATAAGGTGCGCTAGCCTCTACGTAGGTGACTGTAAGCAAGACATAGTGAGTCTCAGGCTCATTTTCACCTTGACTCCAGATGACTCGTAAATGCACGTCCTCCTTTCGGATTTGTATCTGACGGAACATCATCTTGATGTCTGCACAGAAGGCTACTCGGTAAAATCTCCACCGAGTGAGGACACTGACAATGTCATTTTGTAATTTGGGCCCTGGATAGAGAGCGTCGTTCAGACTGTATCCCGTTGAGGTGGGGCTCGAGTCGTTGAAAACAACTCGAAGGCGCCGCCCGCCGTCACTGCGCTGCCAGATGGCGTGATGAGGTATATAGTTAACCCTCTGAGGGCAGTTCTCCATCTCCTGCTCCGACACTGGACGCATGTGGCCTAATCGGATGTATTCGCTCATGAATGCCACGTAGTGCTCTTGAAGGTCAGGATCCATTTTCATTCTCCTCTGTGCAGCGTATAAGGCTGCTCTAGCCTGGTTCAAGCCGTCTCCGAGTAGATCGATATAGTCTTCTTTGACAGGGAGAGAGACGACATATCTGCCACTGCTGCCTCTCGAGTGGTGCTGAGCGTAACAGGCTTCGCACTTGGCATCAGCTGGAGAGACTCAAACTACACTTGGTATTTCTTCGACCGCCCAATACCGCTGCATACGTCCCACGAGGCACTCACTCCAGAGTCCCGTGTTCTGCAGCATTTCTAGGCTTGATGTGGTAGGAGCCGGGCGATCGCCTTGAGCTCCGGTGATCGTCCAACCAAATATCGTTCGTTGAGCGATGAAGCTCCCTCGGCTGACGAGGCTGGAACGAAGAATTCGGCCATACACGTCTGCCCCAAGGACCAAGTCGACTGGTCTGGCTGACGAAAAGTCTGGGTCGGCCAGTTTGAGTCCATGGAACAACGCGTCGGCATTGAAGTTGAGCTTCCTGGAGGGAGTAATCAGACCGATATGCTGCAGCACGTGGGCATTAACTTGAAAGACCTTTTGCCCATCGGAAAGGCTTAGTTTTGTTCACGCCAATGAGAAGCTCACGACACCGCCCGAGATTTTAACAACCCGGATCGAAGAGTTCCTTAAGCCGTCACCGTACTTTCGAGCTAGTCGTAAGGTGGTAAGAGTCAACTCTGAACAAGGATCGAGAAGGGCTCAAGCTCTTCCGGAACGTCCAGCGCTACCACCCACGCTGATGATTGCCGTTGGTAGAAGGCGTAGTCAGAATGACTCGGAGCCATTCGAGGGACCCTCGCTGGGTTGTGTGTCCAGCTTAGCGAATTTCGGAGGCCTATTGGAATCGGTCGAGGAGTTTGTTCGCTTTCCGGAGGCATCATGAAGGGACGTGTAATGTTGTGCCCCGCAGGCCTGACATGACATCGGAGAAGGGCATTTGCCCACGGAGTGGCCCTCTCGCAAACAGTTGTAGCACAATCGATTTTTGGTGGCTAATCCATGCCAATCATTTGGTGACATTCGTTTATAGGTGGTGCAGCGCCCAACGTAGTGAGGTTCCTTGCACGCAGTGCAGCGTGCTGAGCCATCTGTAGTCGCGGTCACTACGTGGGTTGGACGAGCAAACGGGCTTGACTTTGGATCGCCCCTGGAAGTCGTAGCAGTCGATCTCGGTGCGTCTTTTGGCGCTAGAGACGAAAGGGTTCTGCAGCGACGTCGGAGGAAATCGGCTAGGTCCTTGAAAGTAGGGTAGAAGTTTCCACTACCACCGGAGCCCTTGTCGGACACTTCCAGCTCTTCTTCCCTATCTCGCCGAGTGGCTGTATCCATGGCGTCGGAAGCAAGAGAGATGAACCAATCATCCCACGAGTCAACGGGGCGAGCCAACGTTCGCAATTGGTCGCGGTGTCTCTCCAGATCATTGAGCAACGCTTGAAGTCCGTGGGTAGACTTTTCCTTGAGCTGGTGTAGAGATTTGAAAGCTTTGATATGCTCTTGAGTCAACAGTCTGTGGTGATCGTAGCGGGACTCCAAAATGGACCATGCAACGGCGTAGTTGGACATGGTGATCTGTAGGCTGTCGATTGCTGCCTTCGCCTTGTCGAGCACGCATGTCTTGAGGAAGTACAGCTTGTCTACGTCAGGGATTGTGTCTTTACCGTGAACTAGAGACTTAAACAGGTCCCTCAATGTCTCCCAGTTCTCTCGTCGTCCATCAAATGTCGGCAGAGTGATCTTTGGCAGTATTGAGGTGCCCTAGTTCGCTTGGGGTTGGATCTGGGGAGGCGGGTCGTTTCAAGAGAAACGTGCACGTTTATTGTACAGGTGGCCTCTAGCTTCAACGTAAAGGGCCTCCACGGCGAAGTACTTGTTATCTGTGAAGTACGGTGCGTCTTTCGCTTCAGATGCTGTCAGCAATCAGACATGAGTGTCGGTGAAGTTGGCCCAGTAACCCTCAAGGAGTTCAAGTCGACTGAGAACGAGACTTTCCGTCCACTGTTCTGATTGAGTATCTCGAACCACTCGAGAAGTATTCTCAATTACTTGACTCAGAGCAAGTTGAGAGTTGAGCATGTCCATGATTCTGAAAATAGATCAATTGCGTTGTAGCAAGGGTTTTGAAAGTAGTCACTTGAGTCAATTGAAGTGAGAAACGGTAAGAGAGGGGCTGCAAGTATGCAAGCAGCATCTTGGGTTGCATCGTTAACATGAAGGACTGTTAACGACCAGGGTTGTGCGATCTCTTTGCGTGAGCGTTGTTGCTCGAAAGGAGAGAACTGTGTGTTTCGGGTAAAGAAAAGTTCCATCACTTTATGACCGTTGTTGGTCAATGACCTCCTGACCACCTTCGTTCAAGCGTCGTTGCTTGACCACAGTGGCCAGGCGGTCCTGTTGAATAGGCAGTTGTTGCTTTTGATGCTTGCACGTACAGCGTTGGGGCTGTGAGTAATTTTTGATTCGAGTGGTCTCGTGCTGGGGACCACTCCATGTACGAAGCGATATCGGCAAGCGGCTGTTGGAAGCCCTTTGTCACACGGTACAAGAAGCCGTTCTAACCTCAATAGAACTGTCGCGAGAAAAGTGTGCTCCAGCCACTCTTGGCTCTCGGCCCACACAGAACCACATGTACACACATGTATACACACATACATACACATGTGTGTGTGTGAAAGGAAGGGACAGATATGTATAATTATTAGAGAGATCACGAACTTCATCGTGCCCTGCAGCAGAATGTAGTAAGATAACCACACATAGGCGCACGTACACACACAGACACACACGTATAAATGCACACACACACATTTGTAAGAGAGAGAGAATGATACATGATTTTTTGAGAGAGAGAGAGCGCGAATTGCATCGCGCCCTGCAGCAAAATCTAGCAGGATAGAGCACTGTTAACCTCCTGGTGCCCGGGCGTTTCCGCATCGCTGCACTCGGACGGGCACTCATTGCACACACCACTGCGCGACGAACGCTGGTTCGGGGCGCGAGGATAACAAAGCAGCGTAACGGTGGCTGAGCACAAAGAGCGAGGAAAAGAGCGCATCCCATCGCGCGCTCACGGGGTGCAGAGAGGGGCGGGCTAATAAGCCTGCTCTGGGTATCATAACCTGGCCGTCGTCCACGAGTGGGACCTTTTACACGATCACCGAGATCGTTCCCCCCAGATCTGGCTCGAAGGACCATGTTCAGAATTCTGCTTGAGCTTACTGGCCGGATATAGGGGGAGGATGAGATGCACGTGGGCGCAATGATCGCCTATATTGAAACTCAGAACACACTTTATTGAACAACTTACTTGTGTTTTATACAGGTGGTTAAACCGTCCGACGCACCAATCAAAGCAGGGTCGCGCTCGACCTTCGAGAGACAATAATAATAGTAAGAAACTTAAAGGTATAGGAATTATAGAAAATCACGACGCTTCTCCTCTTGACACGCTGTTAGCTCTCTCCGTGCTTCTTGCAGAGCTCTCCACTCTTTTTCCACAGTCTCGACAGGCTCCGTCGCTGCGATGGTGGCGCTGGCGTGGGCGTGTGGCGCGGGGAAACCAAACGCCCCACAAAAGGCAACCCTCTTCTATTGCTAATTCGATTCGTCTAGTAAAAAATATCTTTTCTACTTGTGATAATTCACTGTTTTCCGGCCAACCTAAAGTGCAGTATCTCATAATTTTACTTAAAACAGTATCATTTTTGGTTTCTTTCGCAATTTCGATACAGTCAACTTTCTCAAGGCCTTCCTTAATGTAGTAAATCAGAGTGAAATCCGCCTCAAAAATAGTCAGATCGTCTTGCACCAGAAGCCGTGAAAGAGTGTCACAAATACCATTTTTTTCGGATTTAATAAACTCAATTGTATACTAAAATCCTGACAGAAAATAAGACCATCTTTGTTGCCTGCTAGTCGCAGTAAGTGGAATGCCTTATTTTTTTCCTAGTATGTACTCTAGCGGCTTTTGATCTGTTTTAAGAATAATTTCCTTGCCGTAAATATAATCGTAGAATTTCTTGAACCCGAATACTATTGCACTAGCTTCCTTATCAATTATCGCCCAACTGAATTCTTGCTTCGGAATTTTTTTTGACGCGTATGCGATCAGACGCTCGCTACCATCCTTATACCTATGAGACAGTAGAGCTGACAGACCGTACGCAGAAGCATCGCATGCGAGTACAATCTTCTCACGTGGATTATAATGAGCCAAGACGCGTGGTGATTTCAACTCTCTCTTAACCCATTCAAACGCCTTGTCACACTCTGCATTCCATTTAAAGTCTGTATTGTTTGCACATTCGTACAAGGTTTTGAGATTTTCGGAACGATTCGGCAAAAATCGAGCATAAAAATTAATTAACTCAAGAAATGTAAGCAATTGCTTTGAATTCACAGGCTTAGGCGCTTCCACCATGGCTTTGGCATTTGATTTAGCCTTATGTAGCCCACGCTCATCAATTACAAAACCTAGCACCTCGATACTCGCTTTGAAATACTCACATTTTAATCTATTAAGTCGCAACCCGCATTCCTCTAAACGCGTACAAACTTTCACTAAATTTTCAAGATGCTTTTCATCCGTGTCCCCAGTTATATAAATATTATCCAGATAAGGAATAACGCCTTGTATCCCACTCAGAACGTTTTCCATTATCTTTTGAAACTCCCCTGGGCCTGACGCAATGCCCTCAGCGGCTTTTGTGTATCGTAAGTAACCAATGTGCGTTGCTATAGTCAACAGTGGCCTAGAACTTTCTCCTACCGGTATCTACATATACGCGTGCTTGAAGTCAAGTTGCGAGCATCTTTTGCCACCTTGAAGAACGCGAAATATGTCTTCAATGAGTGGTAGCGGGTGATTATGCATAATAATAATAAATGGATTTATAGTTTATTTGAAATCCCCACATACCCTTACCTCGCCGTTACTCTTTATAATTGGAACTATGGGAGTCGCCCATTCGCTCGACTCAACCTGCTCTAAA